AGGACTCCGCCGTGCTGGTTCGCAATCTTGCCTCAGAGCTGGTCAAGTCGCACTCTTCCTACCCGCCCCCGGTCATGATGATGAACCAGGGAATGGCGTCTTCCACGTCGGTCAACTTATCCGCTTCCAGACGCGGGTCACGGCACAACACAAACTATACGCCTGTGGGCATGCAGTCCCCAATGTCCATGACGCCTCAGACACCAACCCATAGGAGCAGAGGCAGCATAGCAAGCAATGCCTACATCGAGGTCGCTGCCAGCCCTCGGCGCTCAGGAGCACTCGACCGGGACAACGTCGTATATCGACCTCACAGCCGTGACGGACCTACAAACTTCCCTCGACGTGTTAGCAACGACTCGAGCTCAGCGGCCAGTAGCGGTGGCAGCAGCTCCGGCGGTTACGTGCCAGCAGTGAAGAGCAGACTTCCGCGAACACCTCTAGCAGCGAGCATCCAGGGCCGCAGCAGCGCGGGGATGCTCAGGGGCGAATTCATGGCCCCCATGGTTGTCCGCAGCGAGAGCAACTTGAGCAGCAGGGGCGAGAGCGGACCTCGACCGAATAGCAGCAACAACAGCGTGGGGATGATTTCGACGCCCAAGGCGAGGCATAAAACGTCTTCGTCGTCAATTGAAGTCATGAGACAAGCAAGTCGATAAGACGAAATACTTGGAATCAATACGAGCATGAAGAGAAGAGAAAGATTCGTTTGTCATTAGACTATACACATGAATGACTTAAGAAACGAACTAGCATCTATTACGATATAATTTGTTTTTTTTTCTTTAAATACAATGAAAGCAACGATAATGAGGCACAAAAGGGGGGAGGGTAAAAAGAAAGACAAAAAAAGAGACCTGAATACTTCAAGATTATTGTCAAATGCTAGAGGAGAGAGAAAAGAGATGTTTCGTGGTTTTTTCTTTTTTTTTTGGCTTAGAAATTAAATAAGGGGGGAGAGGAGGGATAGACTGAAAAGGGTTGGCTTTCGGTCTTTGTTAGCTTTCATTTGCATGGCTACTCTATGTTGTTGATCAATATATAATTACATATGCAGGCATATACACACACACACGCACATATACCACTTCAATGATGAGTATAATTCCATGCTGGGCTATTTTTCGTATCTTTCAGAGTCGACAATGCATCAAGACAGGGTAGTCATCCTTGAATAGGGCCTAGATACATAGAGGAAAGGTAGCTGGTATACACAATCCATTACTGTAGCGTCACATCAAAGTCACATCAAAGCACCAGTCTGTTTTGGCCCACCAATTTGCATTCATGTGCCTATCTGTAGAAACTTATCACTACCCATGTCCCAACCCTAGAGCTCCCTCCATCCTAGTCAATCCAGCCCTGTGTAGCAAGTCAAAAACCATACGCGCTCGAGTAAATAGAGCAACAAAGATCCGTAAAAAAAGAATACCAAGGGGTGCACGTTTTCGTCATGTCTGCCATGCCAGGCCCGCTGGATGAGTCTTGCATCCTCTCGGCTCGCGCGCTTAGGGTTCTACCCTCGAGGAGGCAGCAGTTTGTTTGTGTCTCCCGCCCTTTTTGATATTGTCGTCTTTCACCAGTCGTATAAGTTCTCAACTTGTCACCATAAAACAAAACAGTTCCCTGGGCAATCGCCCCCTTGGTCCGGTTCGGAGAAAGAGAGAAAAAAAAAAAAAGAAAATCCGTTATTTAAAGGACAGTCGAGAAGTGAATTATAAAATAATCATTGATAAAAAAGTATGACCATGACTTGGCCTCACGCACATTAAAGCACGCAATCATCCATGCGAGGCTGCCTTTGTTGTAGAAAGAAAATGAATAATAGCAGAGGCGAAAAGCTGTCGAGATCGAGATTGTAGTCGATGTATAAATGCAATTCGCAGGTCCAAAGGGTCATGTCAAAAAGTAGAGTCCGGGAGCGTCAAGTCATAAGAATTATAATAATGAGAAAGGCAAAGAAGAATAAGGTATAAAAACACACACGACTTGAGCTTTTCTTATGCTACAGAAGCCATCTTGCGCTTCTCAACGCTGGTCAGAACCAGTCTGGGGGCCTTGCGCTGACCATCTGCAGCCTCCTGTGATTTGGATGCTCGCAGAGCACCATTCTTGAAAACATCGGCAAACGAGTTGCTGTCGCTCTCAGAGCCAGAGTTGCTGTCAACGCTGCCGCGGACCTTTTGCCGCGAGCCAGGTCGGTCTGAGCCGATAGCGCCCCAGCCGCCAGCAGCAGAGGCTCGCGAATTACGGCATTCCACCTCACCAGCCAAGCTGCCTGAGCCACTGCGTCCAGAGTCGGACTCGTTGTCAGTAATGGGTGTCGCTGATTCTTCAGCCGTCTCGGAGACGGGGCTCATGCTGCCGCTGGAGCTGCCAGATCCTTTGCGGCGCTCCAGACCAGCACGAACAAGGTTGTGAACAGCCGATCGTCGGGTGCGGGTCGCAAAGTTCTTGCTGCCCTCATGTTTGGCCGTGGGCTTCGATTTCAACTCGTCCATGGAAGGTGGGCCACGAGGTTGGCGGATTGGATGCTCACCAGCCCGAGCCTGACCAGGGCCATATCCACCAGTGGCAGGGGCGGGGAAGGTGGCCGTCTTGGGCGCAGGAGACTTGCCAGCGTCCCCTGCGGCGGCAGCGGCTGCCAGCACGCTGTTAACGGCGAGAGAGGATGACTTCTTATGTCCGCGTCGGAAGGCGTTGGCAGATGGTGGAGGAAGAGGAGTGACCTCGGTGGGAGAATCGAAGCGGCGTGGGGGCGAGGAGCCACGGAACGAGCCCTGCTGGCCCTCAGGAGGCGGCGAAACCTGGACACGAGGGGTGCCCCCCTGTTGCTGCTGCTGGCGAGACTGCTGCTGCATCATCTGCATCTGCAGCTGGAAGTTGTTGAAGCCGGGAGTCATGGGCTGCTGCTCAACGCTGATGGCAGAAACAGCCTTGGCGGCCGAGGTATCGACATAGTATTGGCCCGTAGCGGAATCGTAGTAGACTTGTTGGCCCTGAGCGGCGGCAGCCTGTGCGGCGAGATGTTGCTGCTGCTCGTAGAAAGCAGCGGCCTGCTGCTGAGCAAGCTGGTTGGTGCCAATGTTGAGCTGCTGGAATTGCTGGGCTGCGGCCTGGACGCTCCTAAGCTGTTGCTGAAGCCTCTGCTGCTGTTGGGCAAGATACATGTTGGTAGCGACAAGTTGGGCATAGAGGTTGGGATCCATCTGCTCTTGCAGCTGCTCATCCATGGACAGCTGGGGGGGAGCGAGTACTTGATCAACCGTGTACTGCTGTCCCATTGCATTGGCATAGTGCTGCTGCTGCTGCTGCTGCTGCTGATGGTGGTGTTGCTGGCCATATTGAGGGAAAGCGGTCAGAGGAGGGTTGTATACATTGCCCTGGCCATAGCCGTATGCGTTCCGAGAGTATTGCGGCATAGGGCCGTCGGCACCAGTGGGTGACATGGGACCAAAGGAAGCCGCCGCAGCAGACTTTGGGGCCGTTCTCAGGCCCGCAAGCAGATGAGAGCGGCTGGTACGGGGAGTTGGAATGCCGCCGTCCTGGTTTTTGTTGCCCTGCTTAATGGTATCAAAGGAGAGCGGCTTGATGTTCTGGCTGCCGCGGCGCGAGGCCAGGCCACCGGGAGAAACAAAGTTGGAAGACATCTGAGCGAGACTGCCTGCGTCCATGGCTCAGAGAAAGAAAAGAAGACGGTGCTTGTAAATGAAGTGATGTGGCGAAGAATCGAGCGTTGCGGACGAGCCGAATTAACAGATTCCAAGGTCTAATGCGGTGCGAAAAAATTAGAAGTCTAATATGTGGTAGAATCGAGATTTGATAAAATGCGGAAGCGATGCTTTGAATCGAAGGCTGACGAAGAATGAACCGTCGAGCAAAGACAGTTCAAGAGGGCGAGAAAAGCCGAGGAGAAGAGAAGAAGAAAAAGGTCGAAAATCCAAGAAATTGTAGTATGTTCACAAGAAGAAGAAATCGCCGAGCATTAAACAGCGGAGGGGGCGAAAATTAAATCGGAGTGATGGAAGGAGAGAAAAAAAGGAGCCGTTTGGAAATCAAATGAAGGATGGTTCCAAAGCAAAGCAGATTTGTTGCCAACAGGAAGTGACGAGTTGAATAACGAGTAAGCGACGCGCCAAGAGACGGGCTGCAATAGAGTTGAGCTTTCCGTCAAGGTTAAAACCCAAGCAGATGATGCTTGAGTTCGAAAAGGCTAAAACGGAAAAGGGGGGCGCGTGCGATTTTCGCGATGGTGGCGGCAAAAAGGCACGAAAGTAAAAACTCGCGTTTAACGTGTCCAAGGTTCCAGCTAGGCGGTCTTCGAGAAGTCTCGCGACAGAGTGACTGGGCGGTCCGTGTATTTCCTTGCAGTGAAAACGATAAAACAAGCTTTGCGGCGTCCCAAAATGCTGCGTGTTATCAACGATCGGCCGAATGAGAGATGGTGAAGCGATGCGGTCTTGACCAAGGCAAGGAGCGGTCGAAGAATAATTACAGTCGATTAATGGCGGTCACTAGTGAATGCGCTTTCCATAAAAATTGGTGTCGGTCTCCTTAAACTGTCCTCTTTGTCCCGGGGGAGTTGTCGAAATCTTTTTTTTTAATCCTTTTTTGGTTGAAGTCTGTTTGATTCTTTTTTTTTTGCCACGAGCAGAAAACGTCCCGTTGTGCGAGATTGGAGCGATATACGCGCAGCGGCGAATGAAGGGCGAATAGAGGCGAATCCGCAAAGAAAAAAAAAAGACGAGACTAAAAGCGAAGAGATTGAAAATAAGGCGAGGCAAGAAGGGGCCACTGAAGGGAGAAGAGAGAGGAGAAAATAATAAGAGGCGGTGTAAATGGTGATGGGACAAAGATGGACGGAGGTGGAGGAAGGGTGGAGAGGAGAAGATTGGAGAGAGAGAAAAAAAAAAGAAGAGAAAAAAAAGAGCTGGTGGCGTAGAATTAATTGCAGGTGGCCGGAGGGAGAGGCAAAATGAGGAGCCCAGCGGGAAAACGCGCTAGACAGGAGGCGACGGTGGAGGAGGGTGCGCTGAGGGCCCTAAAACCGCGGGTGGGCCTAGGGGACCAGACCCCTGAGCAGCGACAATAGGCGGAGAGGCAGAGGCCCAGAAGCCCAGGGCGCCGTGACAGGCCACTGACAGCTGGGCGAGGGCGCTGCTAGCGGTGGAGGGGCAGCAGCGCGAGCGCCCACCGCCAGTCACAGGCCGCGGCGCAGAGGCTGGGCGGGGCGAGGCTGCGGCATGGCGGCCAATGGGCGGCGGCTGCAGGACCTGCCAGGAACTAGAGGCGCTGTTTGGCTGCTGCTTGGCTGCTGGATGGCGCAAGTCAGAGGTCGCAGGACGCTGGCGTGTGGCCAATCAGGGCGGCGAGGAGGTCCGAGGGATTCGATTCTCAGCAGATTCCCAGATGGTCCTAGCAGGTGTCGGTACCTGTACTTGGACCGCCTGGAGCCTCTTGCGGGGCGATGGAAATGCCAGGGCTCGGGAGCTCCATGTGCTATTCCGCCCATACCCCGGCATCAACGCCTGTAGATGGCATAGGCAGCTTACAAGTGCCTATACTATACATCAATGCGATCAAGAGACACCGGACGCGCAGACAAAAATAAATTTCACAAAAATAAACCAGCACCCAGCTCGGGCCACGCCGAATGCGCCATGTGTCAGGCCTTGCTGCTCTCTCTCTAGCAACTCCGAGTCGCAACTTGCCGCGTGACAAGCGCCCAAGATGGAGCAGCCCCGTATTCTGGACGCGCAAACAGGTAGCCGCTCCGTACTTGCTCTGCTCTGCTCTGATCCTCTCCTCTCCAAGACTGCAACTGACCCCCTCCGCAGAAGCCCGACGGCTGCCCAACCCCTGCTCAACTCTCTCTCTTCTCGCAAAATAGCAACACTGAACACTCACGCCCTGCAGCACGGGGATTCCTCCCTCGGCGCTCAGGGGAAAGTACCGGTACCAGCACGCCAACTCTTTCGCTCGCGCCGGGTCCCGGCCAATCACAGCGCACGCTGCACTGGGGACCTCGTACATGACGACACCCTCAAGAAACGCATCTCTGCTTCTTTCGCTCTGCTTCTCCGCTTCGGCCGAGGCGGGAGCATCGCATTACCAATTCGTGCCGCAAGAGTCATTTATTCTGCATGACTACAGCAGAGAAGCAAGAAGAACAGACACGGCGGCGACGACAACGCCCTCTACGCATCGTCAGCATCTCATCAGCGGCATCAGTGGTCATCGTCATCATCATCATCACAAAGACAAAGTCCACCAAACCGGCACGTGAGGCGCAAAAAAAAAGGGCGTTTTACTTGTGCAAGCACTGAACTAAAACCCTCCAGTCAATCAGGAACAGCCACGATGGCGACGCCCATTGCCGTAAGAACACTTACTAGTAGTCCAACGACTCGAGGATTGGCGGGGCCCAGTTGTTTGGCTCCCCTCGAGTCCTTTGCACGAACGCTTCTCGTCTTCTGCCGGGAGCGCGCCTAACCTGCCACGGCTGGCGTTGGCTTTTGCTTTTCCGTCCAGGAATCCGGGTCGGGCCAGGCCAGATCAGGTTCTGCTTCTAGGATGCTCTGAAACTCAGCTGCAAATGGTTTCACACAGGTACTGTTATCAGATGCCGGCCGTCTTCAAGGTACGGCTGGTTCCGCATCGAGAGCAGCCAGAGCGCATCGTCTTTGCATCCATCAATGGCTGCTCCGTCCAGAGTGCCACCGCAACACCTGCATTCTGCTCCCATGCTTCTACAATTAGAACATGGGTCCCCCCTGAAGGCCATGCCAGTCCCCATCCAGATCGTCGACTCCACGCAGCAGTGCCTCCCGTGTTTCATGTCGCCCTGCTAGCCCATCACACGGCAGACGTGCTCTTACTGTACGCTATGGAGTATGGACACGTACCAGCAGTAGGTACCACCAGAATAGACGGCTCATCTAAATTTCGCTTTCCTGGCTGGCTCGTCAGCCTCGCTTTGGCCACGATGGACTGAACAGTCATATCATACTGAACATTCACCCAAATGTTGGCCCTGCGTGCGTCCCTGTCCTGAAACATGCCCCGAGTCCCTTTCCGCGCATGTCTGCCCCAGGCTGCGACGAGACTATTGAAATCTTATCAATGCTATGCCTGTCGCCAAACCGGGGCTTCTTCGAGGTTTGCCGCAGCCTTGCTCTGCCTGACTGCCTCTTGCAGGAGCCAAGGCGCCGCGGTGGTAGCAGTACACGATGATGCTAGTCCTGGTGCTGAGCAACCTGGCGTTGTAGATGTACTCGTACAAGCAGGCATCAACCAATTTCGGGGCTCTCGAAAGGCTGATACAGGCCTCCTCAGACGAGATCACGCATCCCATACGAAACAGTCCCATCCATCAATGACGAGACGAGGGGAGACGCGGCCCACTGACGAATACAGTACAGGGTTCTCTCTCCTGCTCTGGTACTAGCAAACATATTCCCTTGACCTGCAACCCGCAGAGCGTTTGTTTCTCATCCAGACCAATGTTACTGCCCAGGCCCTATCTGCAGTTGAACAATGGTCATCGGCAGAACGGTGTACCTCCTCGCAGGAATGCATGCCGCATGCCCTCCATATTTGGCGCTCGTCGCTAATTAACCGCAGCGCCAGTGGCTGATATGCATTAGCAGGCATGCAGACTGCACGCAAGCACCCCATAGGCAATTTCGCGTCTGGGTTTGTTTTAGTGGCAAGGCGATCCTTTGTTTTCCTCGAGCGTGCTCAGAGTTTAATATGCGCCACTACCGAAAAGTATATCGACCTACCTACTGTATACAGCAACGTCGGTGGAGTCTTGCGCCTGGGCAGGTCGTTTCGCAATGGCTCCGTGCAGGCAGCAGATCGAGTCTGTTTCATCCCGACCTCTGTCTCCAGCTCCACGGTCTGGTCTGGTCTTCTCTGGTCTCTCATCGAACCGGCATGGGGGCATGGCCCGTGACTCCCCGCGCAGCTTGCTCCATGGCGCCATGCGACGTGTCATTGAATGCGATCGATTCTCACGACGAGGGCAACCAGAGTATTGAGAATATTCTTCTTTTATTCTAGGCCCTCCCGCTTCCAAAATTACAAGTCCAGCCATGTCCGCACCAGCATCGGCTCGGTCTGGATCGCCCAAAGGCCACAGCCAATGCCACGGGCTGTGCTGCATATCATCGCCCGTATCTGCACCAAGCACCCATCGTGTGCCACCACAGCCGCGATGCATCCTGTCCAGGAACAGGTACAGGTACAGGTACAGGTACAGGCACAGGCACAGGCACTACCGCAGCACATGCATGCAAGTGCGTGGCTGACCGGCCGGCGCTTAACGGCAGAGCCCAGCCTAGCCAACAGCCAATCAGACCGCGGCATCCAGCACCATGACCGTCTATGCTTGCGGTGGGCAGAGAGCATCGCTGGATCATGATTGAGCGGTGACCGGGGCATTATAGGCGGCATTCAGGCGCGGGGAAAGTGTTGCTACAGTAATTACTCGTAGGTGTAAGCGTGATCAACCACGGTGTAATACTAGCGTAGTGTGGAGTTCTTGTATCTGTCGGCATGCCTATGGCCACACATGTCCATGTTGTTCAACTGCTTGAGGCCCTTTCGTCGACGTCGTTGATACGGAACTGTCTCTTGTTGGGTACAGCTTCACTTGCAACTACTACAGAAACGCTTGGAGTTATATCACGCTCTGAGGGAGACAAGGGTGTTTTTATTATGAGACATGCTTGTCTTTGGACAACTTTTAAAGATTGCTCACTATATAAGCTAACAACTGGTATCAATGCCGCCAAAAGAATTGTCTTTCTCCTAGTCTGCTTCATACGTTACCCCTCCTCAAGATTATCCCTGAACTGCAATGCCATAGCAAGAAGGGTACCGAATAACAACAACAAGATGAATACGGGAATATATACAAAGTCAAGTTGAATGTGTGCCTTATTCATACCTACGATACGGATTGTATCTATTATGGGTGGCAAGTCCACGGAGGAAGAGCTCATTAAGCAATGCGAGAAATATGAAGGCTTTAAAGTCAGGTAGGAAAGAAATGTTTAAATCTCGTATAACGAGAGTACGAGCGTCTCGATAAAGTTAATACTTGTATTATAATGCAAAAGCCATACTTGTTGAAGTAACCGAGGCATGGGTCCAAAATACATTTTATTGCTACGACTGAAGTTACTCATGTAGAGGGGTAGAAGCGCCATAGCGGTATGAACTGCTTCCCCTGAACAACATATGGAAAGCCAAAACTTGCTTCATCGGAACCAATATCGTCTAGTCTCTCTTTGAATCAGTTCACAAAGCACTCTTTTATAATTTCGCAAATAGCGACTTCAATCCTACGTGGAAAGTAGACTTTGCTGCCATCGTGTGCACTGATTCAATTCTTTCATCATCAGCGCGACTACCACAGTATCTTTCAAGTTGAAGGATGTAAAGCTTACTAATGTATCATGCAGTTATGCAAGAAAGATGCTAGGAGTTGCCGATTTCGATCATATCTATCCAAGTTATTCGAGTTTATTGTTAATGTTCGGCAAGCTCTTATATAGTATGCTGAGCCATATATGGACAGCAGAATAGCAGGAACCGCGACTGCAATAGATGTTCTCAAGAGCAAAAAGAAGCCATGTAAAGCACAGTAATATATTCTCTTAGAAAACTGGGTGAATTTGTTTCGCTCGCCTAATTGTTGTACAGTTGCTCCGACAGACCGACCAGAGAGGTATAGGTAAATGATGGTTCCAAAATGGCAAGGAATTCGCAATATGCTTCTGGTCGCTTACTTCACCAATCGCTCATAGAGGAAGCTATAAGACATCAATTGTAAATATTATCCATTTTGGAAACGTTATATCTGAAAATATCCTCTTCAGCAGATATATCCCGTTGTTTAGAACTTTTGGCCGCAGTTGCCCGCACGCATGATATCCCAGCTTTTGGGAAGCTTCTTGTTTTATGGGTGGAGCAGTATGTCTCCTACTTCGGTAATAAATGTGAATATATTGAAGACTTCGCTATCACTACTATCGTAAAATTATTGACAAGTCTGTAAAGAGTATATATCTGCATTGTGGTTCTGTTTGAAACAGGTATTTAGAGCATAGTGGGAAGAGACAACACGCCAATAACGCGCCAATAAATAAAGACATAGGTTATAATGAAGACATATGGGATAGAATATAGCCAAGGTTTAAGTAAAAAGAAAAAAACTGGTATAGTCAGGTATACATATAACGTTTCGCATAGGCATCGGTCTCTTTAGGAGAGCCACTGATGGTGCAAATCCCATCATGTATCTCATCGTATTTAGCTTAATATCACATACGCTGCATTGAATTATATTCATCAAGCAGATCTAATTTGGGTAGCAATAGGGAATTGTTGCTGTCTCTTGCGTTTTATCTTTCCACTACCCATATGAGTACAAATCTGGTAATTTCCAAAGGTAGACACGTAAACAAAATATACTCCAAGAAATCCCCCATAACTTAAAGCTTTCACAACTTGGTGCTTACTTTCTTTAATTTACTGAAACTCGTCTTATTCAAGAGTTCATACCGGTTTTTCCGGCATCTAGATCTGAAGAACTCACACTTTGCCGTCGCTCATTCATAAGCCGCTCGCTTAACCTAGATGCTATGTGGTTTATATGTTCATCTTGTAATGCCGCATAGTTAAAACACTTGCTGTAGTAAAATATTCAAAAACATATTCCCCAAATTTATGCCATTTCAAGCAATTGTTATTAGCAAAGCCGCGCAGTGTCGTGATAATTAAAGTCGAGGTACACCTTTATTCATGCAATTAAGCGAGACGCCTTCCCAAGCTGACGTATTCAGCCGGACAGATGCTCCTTCCCGATATCGAAGGAGCGCTCGTCTAGTCTTTTCTACACGACCAAGAAAAAAACATTCATTTCTCTTCAGCAAACACAGAGCATCTCATGCCATCGAAATGGCCGTGGAGCCATCATCAAAACCACACAGGGATGCTACTGTGCGCAATATAATTCGAGCTGG